AAGCCATTTTTAGACAAAAAAAAATTTAACGTATTAAGGAGTCACATTTTATTTAAGTGATTTGGGTTAAATATTAATATTTTGGGCACAGGAATCATCAGCTAAAATATTTTCAATTAATAATTATATTCTGATGCACAGAACTACATAACCTTAAAATTGTTCTAGTGACTGAATTTAATAAAGTAAAAATGTTTTAAAAAATAATCCAATCCAATCCAATAAAGTGAATAATGGATTGTAAACATTTATATTTCATAGTTACTCTTAGTTGCAATATGTATTAAATTTATGTTATCAATAAACTTCACTGTTAGTAACGCTAGCTAACGTAGAAAAACTAGCTAACTAGAAAAGTTTTTATTAATTAGTCGTAGTAATTAGAAAAATTACTAAATATATTAAATAGCATTTTTAAATATATTAAAAAATTATAAATCTGCAATTAAACTTTACTTGATTATTTTAAAATTACCAGCGAAAGGGCTGTCGTAAGTTTTATAAGATGATGACAATTAAAAAATAATATTTAGTGTTTATTTAAGAAAAGAATTTTTATGAAGGGATAATTGACCTCATTAATACATTAAATTTACACTGTTTTACTACTGAGAGTTCTCTCATTAAAATATTTATGAATGAACAGTAAAAACAAAAACCAGAAATTTTTTTTGGTTAATTATTTACCGATCACTGAAGATCGACATGCCAAAATTTATCATGAAAAAACAAGTGTTCACGTAAGTTTAGATATAATTTCTCATAAATTATTATAAACTTATTCAATAGTCAATAGAAAAGCATAAGATCTGTTTGTAAAACTGCTGTCATGTCATTGTATCAAATTTCAAACAAAGAGGTTCAACTAATTCAACAAAAACTAAATTTTGGGTCCACAGCATCATCTCTTGATAGAGGAGGTCATCACAATTCGAGACCAAAAATAACAAAAATAACAAAATTCCGCAAGAAGTGATTGATGTAATCAAACAGCACAATTTATCATTTTTTGTTCTCATGTCTCACTATTCAAACAAAATGTATTTATCTTCCTTACTAAATATGAAACAAATACCTGAACTATATGAACTATATATCAAAGACAATGAACTGGATAAAAGGTTTTCAGTAACAAAGAGTTTCTACTGTGACATTTTCGTTACAGAATTTAATTTGTCATTTGGGCAGCCCAAGATTGACACTTGTTCTGATGCATGTTTGGAAAATGATGAGCATAAAGAAAACTTCCATTTTGCTTTCAACCAACAGAAAGCAGACAGGCAATATGCGCGTGATAATAAAAACATATGTTGTATGACCATAGACCTGCAACAGACTATGTCACTACCAAGACTTACAACTTCAAAAGCATTTTATCTAAGACAGATGTGGTTTTACAATCTTGGAATATATAATAATCTTGGCCTACTTTTTTAATTAGACTGAAAACGTAGCCACAAAGGGCAGCTTAGAAGTAGATAGTTCTCTGCACACATTAGTGCAAATGTTATCCAGTAGAAACAAGAAAATAGATCACCTTATCATGTGGTCTAATTCTTGTACTGGCCAGAACAAAGACTTAAAAGTGATATGTCTACATCAATATCTTATTTTAAAAAATATGTTAAGGATATAGACCATAAGAGTCCGGAAGTAGGGCATTCTTTCCGAGATTTTGATAGAGACTTTGGAGTAATCGGAAAAAAGCTAAGAAATAATTTAATTTACCAGTAATGCCTCAACAAATACTTTAACCAAATAAAAAATTAACAATTTAAAACAACAGTTAACTTTTGTTAATAGGGCTTATAGACATTTTTACACCAATATTATATGTGAAAAGCAACAAGATGCAGATCTAGGAAGAAAACCAAGTACTAGGCGAAGAACACGTTAAAGTTTTTTTGTAATGAAAATCAAGTTTTTTTTTTAATTTGATTTACTATCTTTGTAAAAATTGTAGCAAGATATAGTTATTGTATATTTATTAATAAACAAGAACAATATATTGTGTTATGTTTTATTGGACACATAATATCCTTTATGTATTTAAACAATTTGGTACTTCTGTTATTTACTCAGTGGATCAAGGATCTAAGTACTTTTAAGTTCTAAAATATTTTCTAATAATATTTTTTTTTAATATTATTAATAAATATATTAGTTTTATGACTACGTATTCTATAAATTTAGTCTATTTAGATCTTATAGTAAAAAATTTCTAGTATAAAAACTTTAACTATATTTTTTCCAATAATTTGCAAACATAGACCCTTCATGCACTTGTGCCTTCAATTAATACATTATTTAAAATAACTGTGCCGCTTCATTTTTAAATTCAAATATTTCGAAAAATAATGACTTTATTGTTATGAATAAAGAATATGTTATTTACATAGATATTTACATAGAAAGTATTGGAGAATTGAAAAATTGTGCTAAAACAGTACCTAATTCCGTAAAAGGTGTAGAATTTGGGAAATGTCAATCATTTACTTTCCTCTGTCAGTAAGCAAAAACGTCTATGTAACATAATTTATTAGGATCCTACACTTTCTGCTAAGTATGACAAGGATATATCAAATAGTTTTAAAGTACTTGGTATAAATAGTTTGTATTAGTTACTGGAATCTACAGCTAAAATATTTCCAATTATTAATGACATACCCTGTATATATACGGATGTACAGACCTACATAACCTTAAAGTTGTTCTAGTGACTAAATTTAATAAAGTGAAAATGTTTTAAAAGAAGAAGGCAATAATTTAGAGTGAATAATTATATTGTAATCTTTATATTTTATAGTACTGTAAATTGCCACATGAATTAAATTAAAGTTATTGATCAACTTCACTGCTAGTAATGCCAGACATTGCTGTAGAAAAATTAGTTAAGTCAATTTAAACTAAATTGTCTAGTAGATATTACATAGGCATACATACTTGGGAGTCCATTGACGAAATGAAAACAATAAAACCTCTTTTAGCTCTAATTTTTTTAACATAATCAATAACCCATTAAAGTAACTAAACTCAATAGTAATTTTTATGTGCAAGCTGAGACATACCATTCATCAGCAATCACTAACTGTATTTAACAGCATTAGTAAACGCATTCAAAAAATTATAAATCTGTAATTAAAGTTTACTTGAATATTTGGAAGTTACCAGCGAAAGGGCTGTCGTGAGTTTTATAAGATGATGACAATTAAGAAATAATGTTTAGTGTTTATTTAAGAAAAGAATTTTTTTGAAGGGGTAATTAACTTCATTAATACATTAAATTTACACTGTTTTACTACTGAGTGTTCTCTCAATAAAATATTTATGAATGAACAGTAAAAACAAAAAGCAGAAATTTTTTTAGGTTAATTATTTGCCGATCACTGGAGATTGACATGCCAAAATTTATCATGAAAAAAACAAGTGTTCACGTAAGTTTAGATATAATTTCTCATAAATAATTATAAACTTATTCAATAGTCAATAGAAAAGCATAAGATCTGTTTGTAAAACTGCTGTTATGTCATTGTATCAAATTTCAAACAAAAAGGTTCAACTAATTCAACAAAAACTAAATTTGGGGTCCACAGCATCATCTCTTAATAGAGGAGGTCGTCACAATTCGAAATCTAACACAATTCCGCAAGAAGTGATTGATGTAATCAAACAGCACATTTTATCATTTTCTGCTGACATGTCTCACTATTCCAGAAACAAAAATTCCAACAAAATGTATTTATCTACCTTACTAAATATGCCATAAATTTATTAATTATATGAACAATATATAAAAAAAATGAACTGGATAAAAGGTTTTCAGTAACAAAGAATTTCTACTGTAACATTTTCATTACAGAATTTATTTTTGTCATTTGGACAGCCCAAGCGTAACACTTATTCTGATGCATGTTTGGAAAATGATGAGCATAGAGAAAACTTCCATTTTGCTTTCAACCAACAGAAAGCAGACAGACAATATGCGTGTGACAATAAAAACATATGTTATATGACCATAAACCTGCAACAAATTATACCACTGCCAAGACTTACAACTTCAAAAGCTTTTTATCTAAGACAGATGTGGTCTTGACTAAATTGTCTAGTAGATATTTTATATCAGGCATACATACTTAGGAGTCCATTGACGAAATGAAAACAATAAAACCTCTTTTAGCTCTAATTTTTTTAACATAATCAATAACCCATTAAAGTAACTAAACTCAATAGTAATTTTTATGTGCAAGCTGAGACATACCATTTATCAGCAATCACTAACTGTATTTAACAGCATTAGTAAACGCATTAAAAAATTATAAATATGTAATTAAAGTTTACTTGAATATTTGGAAGTTACCGGCGAAAGGGCTGTCGTGAGTTTTATAAGATGATGACAATTAAGAAATAATGTTTAGTGTTTATTTAAGAAAAGAATTTTTATGAAGTGGTAATTGACCTCATTAACACATTAAATTTACACTGTTTTACTACTGAAATATAATTCTCTCATTAAAATATTTATGAATGAACAGTAAAAACAAAAACCAGAAATTTTTTTAGGTTAATTATTTACCGATCACTGAAGATCGACGTGCCAAAATTTATCATGAAAAAAACAAGTGTTCACGTAAGTGTAGATATAATTTCCCATAAACTGTTAACGCACTGCAAACAAAAAAAAACAACAACAAATTCGATGATGCAAAGCATTCGGCGATAAATTCTCTTAATGGCTTGCGACACGCGTTGAAACTAAAACTAAATATAATAAAAAAACACATGTTCCAGTATTGTATTAAATTTCATACATAACATCAATGAGGGAAAAGAGAGCCGGAGTGGGGCAAGATTCATTGATAAAACCCGCCTATTGGATATGGACACTCCTCTTAAATAGTACCTAAGTTAGAGGTAAGTGTCCAGTCTAAAGTCTGACAGACGTCGTGTAGGTTATAGTCAGTCTCTATTTATTAAACGCGCGTGTGAAAAGTAACACAATAATGGAATCAGTTTATCCTGCCGGAATGTTAGATCGGGATCAAAGGACCGCTAAGATAAGATTATGTCAGTGTAGATGCAGTGATATGGAAGTGCCAAATAGGACTAATAGTTTTACTACAGACGCGAGTACGAAAATAAGCAGTATTTTTAGCAGTATTGTTTTTAACAAGAAAAGGACAAAGTTTTCATACTTAATATGGAAAAAGGGATATTTAATACATACATACAATTTTCCACGTAAGTCAAAAATACTTTTACATAAAAAATAATCTTGCCGCACTGTCAACAAATATAATAACATATCTTTTATTAATTCTACAAAATATTGTTAATTTTTTTTTCGCGGTTTACTGATTTTTGGTGTTAAAAATATTTCTTGTTCAGATGAGGCAAGGATCTGCCTGTGTATATCCGTGTGGTAGAGGGGCGGGACTTGCAGCAACAGGTAGCCAATGAGACGGTGGTCCCCTCTGAGAGAATTTACAATTTCTCGATACAGCTTGCTTGATTAAATCGAAAACAGCTTGTAGTTCTTGGTATTTGAGATTCCTATAGTAAAAATGGACAGGCTGCTTGTTTGACATCTGTTCGCGAGTGTAGGTGGTATTTGGAGCATAGTCGATGAATCACTGACGCTCTTTACCTATGAACTTGAAATTTATTGTGAAATGTTTCTCTGGGAAATTTGTATGACTCAATGGAGGAATTTCGTGTTAAATAATACTTTGTAGATTTATTTTACAGTCGAAACATGACAAGGTTAGTTTTTTCGATAGGATTAATAAACTGATATATAAATGACAATACTTTTATAGCGCGGATAAGGAATTTATCAAAAAAGAATATTCGTTTCTTTCCTACTTCCGAGCGATTTCTAACTAGATACGAGGTGATGTCTAAATGTTTTTCGATCACTTCTTCTTTTTATCTTAAGGCAAAATAGGGGTTAACTAGTGTTCTTCCTAATTCTTTGGTTTTTGCATCTTCACCTTATTTTGGGATAATATCTTCACTGCAGGAGTTTCTTAAGCCTTTTTATGGTATATTGTTATGTATTTTAAGTTATATTTTATATATTGTCCTTGCTAAATTTCTCTGCTTTATTGTTCTTCTCGTGTATGTCTTTGATATACTCAAATGTATTGAAATAATATGATTTCAAGAGATAGTCTGATTTTTGTATTCACTTTCATTCAAACAGTGAGTTCTAACTTTTTTTATAGTTGTACCTATACGTAAACTGCATCCACTATTGTTATTTTTGTTATATTGTTATTTTAGAGATAGTCTGATTTTTGTATTCACTTTCATTCAAACAGTGAGTTCTAATTTTTTTTATAGTTGTACCTATACGTAAACTGCATCTACTATTGTTATTTTTGGGTTTTGTTTATATGTTTTTCTACTTTTTATGAGATAGCTATTACATAGTCATGACAGATTTTTTTTTTCGGAATGCGTTTAACCTATGGGCTTGTACAATTTGTGTAACCTTCTGCCTCGGCTTTTTAGTGTTAAAGACCACTTATGTAACTGAGACCGACGGTTTTACGTGCCTTCCAAAGCATGGTGACGGCTCAGTTAAATTAGAAATTAAAAACTGTCTGCTGTCTGTGCTGAGGATCGAACCCGAGCTGTTCGACATAATAAGCCAGTACCACAGCTTTTGAGCTAGCGCCGCCACAGTCACGTGAGGTATTGATAACTATGTTTTTGTGATTATTGCCATTTGCTTGTCCTTTTTGTAATTTTAGTATTTGTGACTATATTATGTTATTTTAAATATTTTTACTCCTTAAAAAAGGTTAAAAGCCTTTATTTCAACCTTTAATATCAAATATTCTCATAAAATATTTATACTCTAAATTGCTCAGTCATCATTCTTAGGTTTGTTTTACTATTATCTATAGATACATAATAAATAAAGTCTTTGTATTAAGTGCCAGACATTAGTCATATCTTGTCGCTATTATATTAATTAAAAATATCGGCAAGTCGATCAAAGCTTTCAGCGTAAAGCCGTTATCAGAAGATCCATTGTACCCTTTACAACACCGACTGGCGAACTGCATGACATAACCTCTTCATTTTATTATCATTGTTTGTTTAATAGTTTTTTATTCATCGGTCCTTGTTTCGTTCACATATATTTACCTAAAAATTAAAACGTTTTCGGTTTCATAGATTTTTTTCAATCATTATATAGTAAAATCTCCCTAATAGTGATAGTGAGATCTCAATGGCACTATTAAAAACCACCAGGTTTAGGATTTTTGGATTCTTCGGATTAATTGATTATATAGAAAAATTCATAATAACAAAAAAAGTACAACAATGTACTTGTGCTCATGTTCTAGACGGTTTTTTATAAGTTATATCTCTGTTAATACTCACATTCAACTAATTAGGTACATAGCCTGAAATAATCCTTAATTGAGGTTTGTTTTTGTGCAACTTGCAGTACTTCCCTTTCATGTTTCGAATAATTCTAATATCTCTAGCAGATACGTTGTTTCCTTCATTCATTTTATGCAGGTATTGAAACAATTAAAATGCTAGACAAAATGATCAACGTTGGAACCCCACAATACAACATTGGAGACTTTACAAAGGTAGCCGACCAAGAGAAAGACTACAGATGAGATGGCTAGATGACCTAAAAAGAACAAATTGGAAGTAAATTGCTCAGGATAGAGATCGATGGAAGAAGAAGTACTAGACTTTTTTTCCTGTAATACCTCACATATTTCTTCATCTGTCACAATTTGCTGTTTCTTCGGTCCCTTCAAACAAAAAATTGTAATCTTCACTTGTCTCGAATCCTCTGCTGGTAAATTTTGAAACCAATTGAAAATAGGTAGATTATCTCCAGGATCACATGTTTTCTGGTTCTTGTAATACAGCATTCATTGTAGGCCATAGCTTTTCCATATTGATGAATTGCATTCAATTGAATTAAGCTACATGCATGGGCAAGGAACATCCTTCAAATTAAATTTTTGGAGACCCTGCGTTATGTTACCATTCTGAGAAACAGTATGTATGTATTTTTTTATACAATGACTGTTTGGATAAAATTTTGATCCATCAGCTGAAGATAAAGTTGTGCAGTTTGGTAGTAGAAAGATTTTGTTCGGTTGGTTGGCCTGGAGCATTGCCACGTTCGAGTAAAGTTAGAAGTTTCCTTAAACTTCTTTACTTCCAGGGCAAAGTTTTCATGAAACCATTCACTAAATACCATTATTATGGCCTACCTTTTAAATTTTGTCTTGTAGCCAGCTAGCAAACAAATGTTTTCGAAATCTCTGGCATTATTACCTTTATTAATAACCAACAAATTTAATTTGTGTCTTCAAGTAGCATTTGAACACGGCGTGAATGTGATTCTGCTTTACTACCTGGTGCACTCGCTTTCTTAGAGGATACGATCGTTTTGTTGGACAACAGCTTCCCGTCTGCATTACAGCTTTGGTCAAGAAGAAGACCTTGTTCTTCTACTTTGTCTTTAAAGTACTGAATAAATGGCTGCAATATAGAATCGTGCCTTGACAATTTTTCACCCGATATAGTTAACGTACAGATAACAAATCTTTTTTAAATTTATCCAGCAACCACATTTCAAAAACGCTTTCCATTGTCTACACGCATTCCAGTATATTTTGTTGTTTTCCTAAGATCATGTAGTGCATACAGAAGCACGCTCAAATACATATTAAATGATTTGCCCATGTTTTCTCCACTTCTTCTTCAGGTTCCTTCTCCTATCGGAGGTTAGAAATCATGATCGGGTTTCTCTTCCCTTGCATAATTAGTTCTCCACTATTTACATTTAACTATAATATGCTAAATTAACACAGCAGTTAAATGTGCACGTGCACCTGATAAGTTTTGAGGTTAGACTTTTTGAGGCGACGGAGCACATACGCGGCTTGTGAAGGAGCGTGGGAGGCATGTCAAAGGGTGCCGGATTATAGACGTGTCGGATTAATAATATTCTACTGTATATGCTAATGTTTATATATATTTGAACACAAATTTTTGTGTAAAAACCGTTAACTAACGTTATTCAATATGTGATAATCTACTGACTTAATTGACCCAAATGGATCCAGTTTGTTAGATTAAAGTTACAACAGCTTTGTTAGTAAACAAATCAGTTACGTTTACCAATTGTCATTAAACCATTTACAAAAATAAGTCTTTTAATCGATATCTCACATTATTTAAAGAAAAACCTACGACGTCATTAAATTTTTCACTAATTACCGAACATTACGGCATGCCGGTAAAATACACACTTAACTATTTTTTAAATGATCTGTCGAATTAGTATATTTTTAATTAATATGTATTTGATCTGAGCAGTTAATTATCCAATGATATTACTCGTTTATTCCGTTATATTTTTGACAATTTGGGAATCGTAAACCATGGACGCATTGATGGAGGCTCCCTTATTGCAATCAGTAAATTAGTAAAAACAGAATAAAAAAAACACGCATTAGCAGCCATATTAGTAAAGCTTTGATGGCAATCAGTGCTTCCACGTTTTTTTATGCATTATGAAACAGTTGTAAAATATTATTTATTACATGGGCTAAAGAATGCAAACAAAAGTTGTTAAATCTTACTTAGAATCCTGAAAATATCCAAAACATACAAATAGAATCGTACAACGACCAACAATAATAAAATAACATAAGAGTAAACATTTTAAATTATATTTCTTGATATAAGATTGTTCAGCTAGTAAGATTATTAAAATTAAAGATAAGATAAAAAGGAAATAAATAAGATATGGTAAAACTGGTTGCCTAATGACAAAAATTGTTTTCAGTAAATTTCACTACAAAACCTCGGTGAGGATCAGTAAACATTGACAGTTGCAACTGTCATCTTTCTATTCATAGACCTTCAATAACGAAATCGTTAGTTATTACAATAATTTCTTCCTTTTACCAATTTTTTGCTCTGGTTGTCTAGTATTCTTGGTTGATTGATGTTAGAAAATGGTTTCCCGTCGTTTTAGAAAACTTCCACTTGCGAATTTAATTCACTTAAGATGTCGTTCATCTTGCTGCTTGTAAGAAACTGACGGAGCTCATCACTTTGCTAGCTCAGTATACTATAAATCCCCACCACTAATAGCGGTTACTAATGACCTTTAACCAAAATTTCTTTTAGTCGTCGTCATTAAATTAACAATCTTGTTATTTGGCTTTTTATGCATTTTATTC